GATCATGTGATACTGAAGACTGGAGTAATGATGCTGAAAATTCAGCTTTGCATCACGGGAATAAACAATATTTTAATGTATATTAAAATAGAAAAACGTTATTTTACATCATCATAATATTTCACAATACTAAATGTTTCTGTATTTTTGATCAAATAAATGCAGCCTTGATGAGCATAAGAAACTCCTGTAAAAAACATTAAAAATCGTTCTGATCCCAAACTTTTGACCGGTAGTGTATATGTGAAAAACATATTTCAACCATTAAGGATACAGTCATTTAAAAAAGCTAAATTGAGAAATTTCACTATCTGAGCATTTAAATACTGTAATAAAAATTTACATCAAAGGATATTTTAAATAAAATGAAGTCATTTTAATACCACTTAATTAAAAATATATAGTGTATTTTTTAACAAATTAGGAAGCCATTAGTTACAAAACACAAAAAAACATTTAGTTTAGGCATAATTTGCATTGTGGTATAATTTATAAAAACTTTGAAAGGCAGTGCATTTAGGGCTGCAAAATTTCACCACAATTTTTGATACAGCAAGTGACAGTTTGAATTAAAAAAAGAAAAAATTCATTTCAACCAGTAAGGATACAAAATTTCACTATTTGAGCATTTAGATACTGTAATAAAAATGTATATCAAAGCATATTTTTTATTTTAGTACTTCTTTTAAAAATGAGACAATAATGATGAAATTGCTCAGAATAAAACACCCTAAAGAAACCGGTATAGTTTTTATACCATTCACTGAATAGATGCAAAACTGTCGTTGTGATACATTTCAGAGCGTCAGTTACTAATATGTAGTTTTGACTCATATCTAGTGGCATTTAAGTTATTATTTAATTGGTTTATACAAACATTGCATTTCTAGATCTGCAAAAAACCAGGGGACTTTTGCACAGGAATGCAAATGTAAAAATGCTGCAGTTCCTAATAAACAGATTTTTTCACTGTCTCAAACTGAGACAGACATATAAAATCAGATTTCTGTGCTTCTCCTAAAAGCCCACAGCCACTGTGAGCGTGAGACCAATCCATCACGATGGGTCAAAACCTTTGGCGCCACAAACGACACATTCTGTTCGACCCCATGGGCAGAAACATCAAGCACTGAAACACGATTACCGTAAACCAAAATCAAGATGCTTGCTCAGAATCAGTTCATTATGTGAAGGATGAAGTATTTCTGTTTGCTCAGTGAACAACTCGAGTGCAAATGCACAACATGCACCACCTGGCTTGCAACAGAATATCTAAAATGCATCGACACAACTTGAAGCCTCATTACGTAAGTCCAGCGCACGCTCAGACAGCTCTAATGGAAGATCTACAAATGGGCCGTTGAGATGACCTGCATCAGGCCAAGCAAAAGAGGCATTAGACACTCTCCTGCATTCCCTCATATGACTTCATGCCAAGCAAACGCACATTTGCAGTCTCTCTGAGGAGCATCCAGTTGGTCTCTCATGTGGTCTTGTAACAACAGGCTTTTGGGAAACCTCCTCTGACCATAAACTGATGAACATCCCCCTCTCTGAACACTCTACAGATGTCGGTGAAGTCATGTGCTAATTTAAGGGCTGGTAATCCGTCATGATGTCAGACGAAGGGTGTTCACTGCGAGCGAGTGAGTTGCTTTCAGGCAAAATGATGTAACGAACTCGTCTACTTAGCGGTGTTTCTGAAGTTTTGCCATTTATTTAATGAGAGGGTGCATGAAATGGTGTGTAATCTCATTCTGCTCCTTCTTCAGGGATTTCATCAAGAGCGTCTCAAAAGGATTTTATGGCTGAGATTGTGTATCACAGCCATATAAGGTTACATGTGTTCAGATAACTCTTCATTAAGGCAATTGAATAACTCATGCCAGACGCCTCGGTGTAGATGCAATCTAGGACCGAAAGAGCAATTCAACAGCGCCTCCTAGTGGCACATTTTACCATATATGTGACCCTGGAGCACAAAGCAGTCTTAAGTCGCTGGGGTATATTTGTAGCAATAGCCAAAAATACATTGTATGGGTCAAAATTATAGATTTTTCTTTTATATCATTAGGATATTAAGTAAAGATCATGTTCCATGAAGATATTTTGTAAATTTCCTACCGTAAATATATCAAAACTTAATTTTTGATTAGTAATATGCATTGCTAAGAACTTAATTTGGACAACTTTAAAGGCGATTTTCTCCATATTTAGATTTTTGTTGCAGCCTCAGATTCCAGATATTCAAATAGTTGTAT